TTGGCGCCGCCCTTAAATATAGAAGGCACCTCAGTACTCAAGATAAGAGTCAATGGGTATTTAATCCATCTGCAACACTCCACGTGGGAGGAAAATGGGAACCTGTGGTAAAATCAGTAAAACACCACATAAGATGCGCAATTGGCGAAACCTTGATGTCACTAGACGAGCTTACCACGCTACTTGCCCAAATCGAGGCAATCCTCAACTCAAAGCCCTCAGGAACGATGAGTAACGACCCCGAAGATATTTGAGCACGCACACGAGGACATTTCTTAATTAGAAGCCCACTCACCACCATTCTCGAACCATCTCTCAAGGAATTGTCCATGTCAGGATAGTCTCGTTTGCAATTTATTCAACAACGCGTCCAGCAGTTCTGGGCACAATGGTCAACTTATTTTTAAAGCAGCAATAGTCAATATCTAAATGGCAAGAATATCTAAATGCTTTTCACCAAAAGTGGTTTCTGGCTTGAGTCATGGACATCCATCCTGGCAAGGGTGTGCTGACTAGGGTGGTTATATTAAAGACAGCTTTAGCCATCATGACTAGGCCAATACATAAATTGGCGGTGCTACCAATAACTGTTGAAAGGAAATAATCATTAAAAAATTGCTGATGACGAGTCGAATGTTCAGGATTGAAGCATTTTCCAAGACCGTGAATTGTAGACCTTTCTTTTGTTTGAAATTCATGGGACTGCTTCAATCCCGAACATGTACTTATCATATTTTTGTTTCAAATGGCCTGCAATGTTTATATGGTCTTTGAGTAATAACATCGCCTGGAATTCTCCAAATTTCTTACGCTTTGTTTTTTTCGAAGAATTCTCGAAACTTCTAAATTTTGCTTCTATGCCTCATGTAGAATTACAACACGGCAACGGCGATGCCTGGTTGCCAGCTAAGTGAGCCACAACGTATATACCTAAGGGCAATACGCTACGCTCAGTTACTCATTGTGAATCTATTCAAAAAATAATTCCACAAATCTGACTCGTCAGCCAAACGTGCTAAAGCAACTTAGAATAAAAAACCACTAGATGGTGTGTGGGAAATGCTGGGCTAGTAAAGGGTTAATGCACTGATTCAATAATTAACACATATCTTTATTATTGCTGTTTATTATATTTAATTGACTTTATTTCCAAGTTGGATTCATTAACCGTGATGATATTACAAATGACCATTATATTTCTTAATAATCTTCTGACATTGAGATGTACCTTTTTATCGGAGAACTAGCAGATGATCAATTTCTTATTCTCTGCATATAACTGTTGAGATTATGATTTACTGTAAAAAGAAATAGGTTATAATCTATTGAATATTATCACTTTTGAGGTTATGATCGTTGTAGTGCTCTGATCGAACACTACAATCTTTTCATGTTTCAACTTAACACGTGTGCAGTTGCCTCTAAATAATGGGTCGTGTAAGAGCCTAAAATAGAGGTTATGCGAAACTGTGCGCCACCTGTGGCGTCAGCAACTGTTCGTTGGAGGAAATGAAAAACCACTGTGTGGCGTCAGCAGCTGGTTTTGCTTTTAGAGCATGCCAAATAACCATAGGAGAATGCCAATCAATGCAGCCCTGAAGCCCGCCCCAGCGTAACATTACTAGCAACGACTCGACTGGATAAAGTCGACACAAACCGCTTATTTCTATGACGAACTCAAGAACCTTCAATCCAACAAACAACTGCCCACCGGACACGCGTTTCATCGCCTGACCGCCTTCATAGACTCACAAGGAATCACATAAAGATTGGGGGGAGGCTACAGAGAGCATCACTACCATAAGAAAACAAGCATCCAGCCATACTACCGCGGCAGTCACCATTTACAACACTTGTCATAACGCATGCTCATCTTAGAGCTATCCATGGAGGCACCCAACTCACACTCTAGTATTTACGTCAAAATTATTAGATCATAGGAGGAAGAGATCCTGTGAAGTCACACGTACTACGATGCGTTATTTGCGCCCGCCAAAGGGGAATCCGCGCAAGCCAATTAAGGTGACAACTTCCACGATCTCGAGTCACGCCATGAAGGTCATTCACCCACACAGGAGTGGATTATGCGTGACCACTCACAATTAAAACGTGGAAGGGACGAGACGCTAAGAACCAGAAGGCATGGATATGTGTCTTTGTGTGCTTTGCCACGTGTGCAGTACATATTGAAAGTCAAACTCGTCAAAGGGATTTCGTGCAAGATATATTTATTATATATAGATATATTAATTATTCAATTATCATTGCTGGCCAGCTATCGGGGTGTCCTCCGCAACGTGACGCTAGTCAGACCGCATTGAGGACGACAACATAGGCTGGCATCTCCAGCATATTACTCACACCTTTCGTTAACCCTCATCTTTTTATCATGACCGTTCGCGGCCTACGTCTACCTTATCAGAGAATCCCACTTGACTTGATTTTTATCAGACCGCTAAAGAGGGCGCCGATCCTGATTGTTAGACCTCGGCCTAAATTTCAATATCACTGCGAGACATTGCCGGTCACGCCACAACAAAGTGTTTGTAATCAAACCAGAAAAGAGGGCGACAACTATTCGTAATTCCCCACCACTGCCAGGAGCCGAATATCAATCAGTTCAATTTACCGTCGAGTCAAACGCTTAATTAGTCGCGAGCCAAATCGCGCTTAGTACGATTTGAGTCTCAACTTAAGCGTCTAAGCATCCGCGAGCCGGATAATGCCCAGTATAATTCAAGCATGACTCATACGACATACAATTGTCGAACAAGAACGGCTCCGTCGATTTATAAGCTAGAACCCGTAATTAGTACTCCCGAGATACCTTACGAGGCTTGCACTCCCAGACGATATTTTGACTTAATATCAGATGCCTAGTTACTACAATCAACAATTCTATTGTCAATCTTATTGTAACAACTACTTAAATAAAGGTCAATAAAACCAATTTTGTTTAATCTGAATTGATGAATTAACCTCTTGCTCATCCCCCCCCCCCAGCCGCCGTGATCAGCAATCATACTGGTGGCTGGAATTCCAAACAAGTACATTATACATATACTTCTAATTAATATTATACAATTAACGATATGAAAGCTATGATAAATTTTTATTACATTTCTTCTTTGCGAATTTATTGGATCTATTTGAATACTCTAATGTATGAATTTTGTTATTTTTAAAACTTCACATTTTCTTGAAATATTATTAACAATTCTGTGTCGACTATTGAATATTTTGAATTATCGAATTGCAGTTTCTTTTATTTTACCATAATTATTTCTTTCCATTTAACTTCGAATTAAAATTATGTATAATATATATATAATTTATACATGTTTATTGATTAATTATTTGGAAATGACAGATAATCCTTATTACATATTTAACACCATGAATTATATAGTATTTTGAGAATTTTTATGAGATAATAAAAAACAAGATTTTTTTCTTAAAAATTATAGATTATTTTATTAAATATTGATTTTTTATAAATAAAATATAATAAAAATCCTTAAATTTAGGTTTTTCTTATCACGATGTATTCAATATTCATAAGGTAAAATAAATTAAAAGAGTAATTTATTTAAAACATTCCCTTTGTATTAAGTAATCAGCTAAAGTTAGAACTGAGATTGAAAAAAATTGCAATGTGTTTATAGTGTTTTCCAGATATACACTATATCTTGTACTATGTGCACTCTTTCATTCGCATAGAATTACAAAGACTCTTCTAAATTTTCTTCGTACAGGCTTACGTTTATCAATCGTACTAGGGTAGTTTGTATTAATACTTGTACGTTGTTCTTGGTTTAATTTTTATGAAAATGTATTTCATCCCACACCGAGTGACTCCATACGATCAGATTCTTCGTTATATATGTAGATTGTAAAATTAATTTCTAGTTATACATTACTATGCTATGTTAATAATTATTATCAATAACTTTTATTAAATGAGTATAATTATATATTACATTAAATATTTTAAATCATGCGCTTGATTTAGATAATATTATAAATAAAAGAAATAGACATGATTATTCTACTTGAAAAGAATTTAAGTTAAGAAACTTATCAAAATGTTGAAAATATTTATATTTTCAAAATAAATAATTAATTACTACTTTTAGTGACTATTTACGAAAGGAAGTTTCTTAGAATTATCTGACTTATTATCCAGTTTCCATTTTAACATGACTAGATGGGGATCTACAATATCCTGAAAAATTAATTCGATATATTTAGATATTTTGTATTAATTTGTAAAAGAATTTACCTTACAAAGTGTTATGTTTTTTCTACTGCATAATAAATTTGAAATGTCTAATTGATCCTCGTGGCTGATTTTGCTGTCTAATTTACAAACAGTGTCTTTTACTGGTTTTTCTATATCATGTGACACATGGAATGACAATCTGTCCCTATGTTAAAAAATTTTCATTACTTCTCCTGAAACTAGATTTATATTTTTTAGTTTACCTTGCTAACTCAAATTTTTCATTTGCAAGTTTATTTTCTCTTTGTAATAAGATCTCTTGTTGAGCTTGAATTTTACTTAATTTATCCTTATAACATTCTTCAATTAAACGAGCTTCGTTTAAAGCACGCAAACCTTCTTCTCTTTTAGCCAGTGCTGACTATTAATATTATAATATTCATCAATTTAATAACAATTATTAAATAATAAATATATATATTTAAATTATATTATTATTATATATCATTATAATATCATAATATATAATTACAATTATAATATCATTACTTGCACTTTTTATCTTTTCATTAAAAGTGCTGTTATTTTCTAATCAATTTCTTCATATCAAAGATCTATACCATTTAATAATAAGTTATAATTATTTTTGAATATGCTATATTACATATTTCTTTAATTGAGGGTTTATAAATTTTTATAAATTTAATGAAAATATTTTTATCAATTTTTTAATGTAATAGAAATTTTGAGTAAAAATAGAAATAACATTTATTATAAATTATTAATGCTTATTTATCAATAATTAAATAATAAGAAAATTTTTATTTAAAAACCTGAGTAAAGATTTGCAATTCTTTGGCTTTTTGAATAAGAGCATTTTCTTTTTCTTGGAGATTATTTTTTTGTACTTCTAGTTCATTTATTTTTTCCTGCCATTTTAATTTTTCTCGATTAGCATTGGATACAGCATTTTGTGCAGCCTTTATAGTTGCTTCTAACTGTGGAAAATATTAAAAATATTATTTGATAATTACTGACATAAATAATAATACGTACTTCTATTTTAGAAACATCATCAGATCCTATTTTTAGTCTGTTTAAAATTTTAAGTTTTCCTTTTTCAGTAATAAGAGTTTGTCTTTCTTGTGCAAGCCATCCGAATTGTTTGTCTTGTTCTTTTACCCATTCGTCTCTCATCATCTGTAAATATTTTGATTTTCTATGATGCTTTAATTATATATATGTATATATATATATATATATATATATATATATATATAATACATTAGTATTTAATTTTGCAAAAGACCATTTTTTACACAGAAAGATAAAAAGTTGGATCAAAATGTAAGAGAATAAAAAGGAGAAAGAAATAATAGAGAAAAAAATCTAAAAGAGAAAAGGTAAGACAAGAAAGGTATGCAAGTGACCTAAATGGCTCAGTGTTTAGTTATGGAACCACATGATCTAGATAGATGTTTGGATATAAATATGTATTTTAAACACGATGTTTTCATGAAGCACTAATGGTTACACGACGATAGTAATCTTTAGCTCGATCAGGATTATCTGTTTAATATCTGTTTGTTACTTATTAGCGTGGACGCGATGCGAATGTATACGTGTCTATATTGTCAGGCACGTATTGTTTTCTCTATTTTTAATAAATTTTTATCTTGTATGTCCGCAATATCTATGGTGATTATTTGTTTCTCCCTTTCCTTTTGACATTCTGCATTGGCAATTGTCCAGCTTTCTGTGCAATCGTCAACGCGAGTAAATCAACAAGTATGTCTATCAATTTATTGAATGGACAGCAAAAAAATGCACTAAGAGACCTGCACGATTGCTATATTTTGCTATAGTAGTGAAAAGTGTAATGTCTTAAGTTCCCAATATATTACAACAAGATATACTAATGAGATAAGCCCGCAGAATTGTAACATTATAGGTGAGATAAATCCATAGAAAATTAATATCGTTAGAGAATATAAAATAATATAATTTATAAAGTTAAAGATCATACTTGTAGTCGTTCACGTTCCCATTTGTTCTGCTCAATAAAAATTTCCCGATCTCTTAACAAAGCATTTTCCTTCGATTTTAAAATTTCTTGATTTTCTATAAAAACGGTATTTTGTTTTTTAAATTCTTTCAGTAGTTCAAAAGAATCTAATTCAAGTTTTTGAATTGTTACCATTAATTTTTGTTTTTCTTCTGTAAATATATCCTTTTGTTTTTCAAGTAATCCTTTTAAATCTTTAAATAAAAATTCATTCTAATTTAATAATATATTTTTTTAAATATACTAAGATTTAATTATAATGTAATAATTTAATTAATTACTAACATTCAATGTTTTTTTCTTGATTTAATAAATGATTGCTTTTAAATTCAGTAAAATTTTTATCCTTATTTTCAAGTCTATTGTGTAAATGTTCAAGATTTTCAATAATAATTTGAGATTTGTTAATTACTTTTTCAATATTTGCCCCATCAATTGTCATAATTTCAATTGCTTTATGTTCTGATTCTTTTGATTCTATTATCCTTTGAATACTTTGAACGTGCTCTTTGTGAATTATTTCTAAATTTTTCAAATGATTTTCACGTATATCTTGAAGAATTGTTGAGTTATCTTCCTATAATTAAATACAAAAATATTAATTAATTCTTAGCTATAGGTATTTAAAACTATAAAGAATGTTAATATAAACATAAAAATGAATGTAATCTTTACAAATTTTAAAATAAAATGACTGACAAATATAATTTTTCTCACATTAACCAAACATTACTTAACAATAATAAAACTTTTAAGAAAATATTTTTTTATAATATTTATTATGAGCTTCACTTTGAAAATAATATTTTCATTTTCGTTAATTAATTTTCGTTTAAAGCACATTCAAATTATCTTCAAAGTAATAGATGAAAAATTATTGATGTATTTTTATAAATATACTTTATAATTAATGTTTAATAAATATTTTAATATACCTTTAATATTTCCTTTTCAATTTTATGTACTTTTTCAAGTTCTAAAATTTCTTCTTTGAGTTTTTGAATTTTCAATTTATAATCCGCTTCAAGACATTCTACTTCATCTTGCATTCTTTTCTCCATCTGGACCATTGCCTCTTCTAAAAACGTAAGTTGTTTCCTAAATAATAAATACATTTTTTAGACATTTAACATTATTTTTATCATCATTTATGAATAAAATTATGAATAAATTTTGAGTGTACTTATAAGAATCTTCAAGTATAGAAATCTCTTTTTCATGTTTCTCTTTCAAATTTTCAACAATGTTTTCTAAATATATTTTTTCCATTTCAAATTTTTGTAAAAGATTTTCTGACACTATTTTTTCATCCACTGTTGTTTTAGTATTTTGTTTCATGTCATTGTTTGTTGTAAAATTCATAGATGGTATTATTGTTGGTTGAGCTGTAAGTGTCTTAAGTTAAATAAATTTTTTTAATAATTCATTTATATATTTAATAAAATTTATTCAAATTACAGAAAAATTAATTATTTCAGTTATTCTCTTTTTATTTATTTATGCACTAAATTATTTTTATAATGAAATTATAAATAAATTAATTTTAATATTAAAGTAGTTTAGTATTTTTACAAAAAATTTAGGTCTTTCCAAATAAATTAGTTTTCAAATTTTCATTGTAAAATAAAATTAAAAAATTATTTCTTTTTAACTTACTTGAATATAGTTGTCTATTCGATCCTGTTGAGACTTCATTTGAGCTTCAAGTATGGATTGCCTTTCAAGCTGTCTAGCTAATAACATATTAAATTGTTTTTCTTGGTCAATTGATTTTATTTTTTGAGTTTCAAGTAAATAATTAAATTTTTCAGTTTGTTGAGAAAGGGCAGTGCCTATTCTAAGTTCATGTTCCTGTTGCTGCATATGCATTATTGCTGCTTGTTGATCAAACTCAATACTCAAAAGTTTTGATGTCAAACCATTTTGATCCATATTTTTATCTATTAATATAATAAGTAACTATATTTTAGGATTTTAATATACGTTTTTAAAATAATACATTATAAATAAAAATTTTTTTTTAATAATGAATCCTATTAACTTATAATTAAATATTATAACCTAATGCAATATTTTGAATATTTGTTGAATTTGAAACTTTGTCTGTTTTTGCAAATTTTACTTTAGGTAATTCTTCACTTTGACCAGTTTCAACTATATCATGTTTTTGTTCTTTAATAACTTTTGGATCTCTGAGCCACTCTGGTAGTTTTTCAAATTCCACTGATTTTAAATTATTTTCAACAATTAATTGCTGATTTGTTTTTTCTTCAACTTTTGAAGATTCATCAATCTAAAATATATACTTTTGCTTAAGTATGAATATAAATTATATATAAGAATAAATATAAAAACAATTATAAATATTTTCAAATTTCATTAGGAAATTGGTATTTTTGAAAGTAATCAGTTATAATTTCAATAAATAGATCATGATTGTGTTTAGCTTTGTTAAGATAAGCTAGTTTCAAAGGAAATAATTATTTTTGTAATTGAATTATATATTATATAGTATTTATAAATTAAACATATGTTTATTGTTAAATATTTTATTTGAATTTGTTCATAAAACTACCCTTGAATTAGATATTGAAAAAAGTCCTAAAGGATCATTAAAAATGGTAGAAGTTCTTCTACCACGCCTAGATCCCTTTGATGCACTCAAGGAGAAACCACTTTCAGTCGATGCATTATTTGTGTTTTCATTACTGATCCCTGATCAGAAATTTATATTATTTTAAAAATTAATTATATCTAATTAATAATTAGAATTATATAATTCAATAATCTGAAAATAATTTAAATTAAAATATGTAACCAGTAATTGCTTCTCTAGGATATGACCGAGCTGCAGATACATTAAAATTAATTTTAGTCGTATCAACTACAGAAGTTGATAATTTGCCACCAAATAAATCATCTATTAATGATGATTTTTTTGCTTGATTAGTTGCCGATAGTCTTACAAAATCTGATTCTTTAAGAACTGATTCATCTGACTGAGGTTTTTCTAATGAATTTTTAATAGCAAGTAATGGTGATTTTTTTTCCAATGTATTTTCAATCTGAAATATTTATTATTCACAATAATTTTTTTATAAATTTGAATAAATTCTTAATTTTATAATAAAATATATACAAGTAAAGTTTCTATTGAATCAGAATCTTTCATTTCAAATCTGTCTTCATGTTTTATTCCAAATAAATTAACTACTTTGCTATTTCTATCAATATTTCCAGATTTCTTTTTTAAAGATTCTTTAAAACTATCGTCCAGAGGATTAAAATCTTCAGGAGCAATACTTTTAGAAAAATCTGAAAATCATGTTCAATATTCAATAAAAAACCATTATTAAATTTTTATTTAATTTATAAAAACTACTAAGAACAAAACCTTTAAACACAACCCTCTTCTTTGTATCATTCAATTCTGCAGTTCTAGAATTTTTATCAAATAAAGCACTGTCTAAATCATCTATGTCTTCCATTTTTTTTTTGATTTCCCTATAATAAAATTTTGTATTGATTTAGATAATATTATATAATATTTCTAATGCTTCATTTTTATTAGTATTATTAAAAGCAAACTTTATAAATAATAAACTACTTTTAGTTAAATACGTTAAGTCTTTAAAAACATGAAAAATATATTGTACTGAAAAAGAGAAGACTATGCAAATCAGTATCTTACAGCAGTACAATAAATTCAGTTGATCAGGCATTAAATTCATTTTAATAAGTGGATAAATTACTCGATAACATGGACCACGTTCCTGTATTTCCTATACTCATATTGATAGAAAATTTATTGTCGATAACATTAGACGAATTCGCATAAATATTTAATGGAACCTTTAAATTTTATGTAATGCGATTTGTTTTGAAACAGTTAAGAGGTTACACAGCTGACGTTGCCCAGGCAACACTATATTGGCGTGAGTAATTATTCAATCATAAACGTCATTGGCTCAAGGCATCACGTGATATCTAACTACAAATCCAAAATGACGTGGCGTAAGTCACCGATGCATTAACCTTTATAAAGTTGTGGATACCAATGCTGTGAGTAGTAGATAATTTATTAGTATTATTAGAAGAGGGTTATGACGGATATTACATTTTCTGGACGGGCGTATGCCAAAATCATTCTCCACGCAGCTAAATATCCACATTGCGCCATTAATGGCCTATTATTAGGTAAGCAAAATAACTCCAATGAATTGCAGATTATTGATGTAGCGCCACTTTTTCACATCTGTTTACACGTGACACCCATGTCTGAGGTTGCACTTACAATGGTAAGTTTTTTAAATTCAGTTATTAAATGAGATTAAAGTTATCTAAGATACTTATTCGACTCCAATAATTGATTTGAGTTTCACCAATTTCTTATAACTACTTTATAGGTAGAGCAGCTTGCCTTGAATCAAGGTCTTATCATAGCCGGCTATTATTTAGCTAATGAAAATATTAATGATACTAGGTATGCCTTTTTTATTAAGAAACTATTTATTTGAAAAAATTATCAATATTTTATGTTGTTCTATAGCACAGACAAGCCTGCACACAGAGGTATATCAGAGAAAATTGTAGAACATTTTAATCATGCACTAATTGCTGTTGTTGATAACAAAAAAATGACTGTTGGTATGAATATGAATTCTTTGAAAATATCACAATATTTAGATGGAAAGTGGAAATTTAAAGATCCGTCAAGGTTTGTTTTACTTCCTTGAATTTTATTTTATTAAAAATATGATATTCAGACATTTATTAAAATTAAATAGCTTTAAAAATATTTATTTACTTATTATTCATTTATATATTTATATACTTATTAATCGTTTATATACTTATATACTTATATAATAATTTAAGTTAGAAATTTTATAACTTCTAATTTTACATGGGACTTTAATAATAATTATATGAGAATATAGTAAAATTTCATTAATTTTATTGATACATATATTTGTATCAGTATATTTAAATATTTAATATTGACAATTTTATTTATTATTTTTATAATAAAATAATAAGAATTAAACTTTTTTTATAGCATAAATTATGAAGGTGGTGCTAATCTTTTAGAAGCAACATATCATTTAATACGAAGAAAAGAATACAGAAATCTAGTCGACTTTGATAATCATCTTGATAATATTTCATTAGACTGGCAAAATTTAAAATTAAATGAAAAGATAGATGAAGTATTAAAAAATTACCAATAGTTTTGTTTGATACATTTTGTAAGAAAATTTATTTCTTTTTAAAATATAGAAATATTTTTAAGTGATAATATAGTAGAATATAAAAATTCTAATAAATAATATGAAACTAAAGTTTTCACTTAAATTTTCACCTACTATAAATTATTTATTTATAATATTATTTTATAGAATAAGTGTTTATTGTAAAAATTATATAATGCAAAATATAAATAAAACAATAAAAATATAATTAAATATGTATTAATATTTGTTACAAAATCTGCATTAGTAATAGTTAATTTCTAATTTGGAAAGGTATATAAAAATATTACTTTAAATATAGAATTCAGCTCTAATAACTAGAAATATCTATTAAATAAAAAATAAAAGACACAAATGTATAGAAATTTATAAAATTTGAAGGTAATGTGATTAATAAATAAAAGGATTAAAATATTGGAAGGACAAATTTTTATTTATTCTCACAATATTATTTTCATTTAGTTCATAAATATACATCAGCCAAATATTCTTATAAGATAAAACGCCAGTTTTTATAATTCCAAAATTAATAAATGAGGCTCAGAAGATCTATTGTTATAATTTGGGTTGTAGTCGTTATCTTAACTTTACTTGGTTAATTTCAGGTACGAAAACTGCGCCTTATATTTATAGCTAATATAGTGCAAATTCAGCAAATGATCCACATATTGTAAGACAAATCATTTGCTTCATGCATTGTGATTACTTATCATCAAATACCCATTCTAATACGACAATGGTATACGTAATCATTTAAAACCTATCATTTAAATTTAATATATCTTTTTAATCATTCTTTACTTTTAATTAATTAAACAAAAGAAAGTGTACAAGTCGATAACTAAAGTATGCATTAATTTTCATATTAATTTATTATTTTCATAATATTTCTATTTTTAGATAAAATTATTTCTTTCATTCAAACATTTGTTTAGTGTTTTATACTATTTTAATAATTGAAATTTATTAATATTTGATTTTATACAAAATAATAATAGTTTTATTTGATTAAAAAAAAAAGATTTCTATATTTCAAATTCTTTTTATTACACATTTACTGCTTAAGAAATACTATTAAAAAATAAATTAAATATCATTATCCGGTTAAAACTGCTCTTAAGGAATACAAAAAATAGAAAATCTTATACATTACTTCATACTTGTATTCCTAGGTCTTATAAGTATTTTGTTTCATCAGTGACACTAACTGAAAATTATTTATTTACAAAAGAATTAAGTTAATTTTTAAATGAAATTAAAAAAATTATAGTGTTTTATAGTTTAAATTAAAAATAATTTATGTTATATCATTAGAAAAAAGAAAGTTTTCCCAAAAAAAACTATGTGACTATTTGGTCAGGAATTGAGTTGAGACAATACATTTTCATGACGTTCATCTTTATTTCTTAGCAATGATCAATCTGTTTCTTTTTTTTTTGTAAACTATTGTCATGTTAATACCTCAACGAGAATCAGAATTCCTGTATCATGTAATATATTTAAAAGCATTATTTATTTTAAATTTCTCACATATAAAGTTAGAACATTAGAATGAATATTAAAATGAAAATTATCTTAAAGATATGTAAATTTGTGACACTATATTCTAAATAACTTTTATGTTACTGCTGTAATAATATATTTTATATTTTATATTAAATTAGTATGTAATTTTAACAACATACTATGAGTGTACTTTTATTTAATATATTATTTTGCTTTCAACAATGAAAAACTCTATACAAGTCTAAAAAATCGGTTCTCAAGTAATTACGTGTACCGGTTTATGGCCTTTGAATATTTAAAATTGCATTTCTATGATCTAAAATAACTCAATGAAGAGTTTTTCACATGAAAAAATACTTTGTGTTTCTATACAAAAAAAAATATTTTTTCATTATATATATATCAAATAGGGAGTTTTAAAATATCGCTTTATAAATTTACGCAGTACGTTACAAGAATATTACTATTAGTTGTTATTTGTATAGCCCATAACTATAGTAAATATATTTAAACACTTTATCCATTAATTATATAACGTATTAGTAAAATCAACACTTAACATATGAATAATGGCTTAAACAACATAAATTATTGATAATTATCAAATTACATATTTTGTATTAACAAGTTCCATTTTATTATCATATTTTGTTTCTATAAATAATGAAAAATAATCGATAAAGAAATTAATGATTTTTTTTATCACTATATAAGAATGTTTTGAAAAGTCGATAATTTAGTGTATAATTTAGTTTTCAACTTGTTTAATTATCGTTGTATTGCAAGTGCAAGGTATTATTCACTGTTGGTTAATGTCTTTTTTTTATGAATTTCTCCCTTTTTTATCGAACATTATCACTGTCATTTTATTCTACGTATAAATTACATACAGATTTTTATATATAAAAGTTAAGATATGCTGCCTAAGGCGATTGAAGCCACATTGAAGTTGTTGTTTATTTTCTTTATTGGTATATGTTTAGCTTATTGATTTGATATTTATAATTTGATGTTTCAGAACTTTTAATTCAAGAACTTAAATAAAGTAATACGAATCAAATTATATTTAGACGTAATTGCGAAATTTTCCATTTTACATGTCCTTTTATTAAATTTTTTAGATAATTCCCAATTAATCAATTAAGAATTTGTTAGTAAACAACAATTATTAGAAGTTAAATAAACAGCAATAATTAAAATACTAAAGAAACTTATAATATTAATTTTTTATTATAAATGTTGGAAAGCATATATTTACTTTTTACAATATACATCTAGTTTTCGTACTGAATATGTCGTTAAGAAATGTTATTAGATATCGATAAAAATAAAATGGCTATTTTATTTTTAACTTATTAAATATTTTATTTGTCTAATAACATTAATTATTTTTAATGAAAGTTTGAACGAAAGCGACGAAACGTACGCATCACAGATCAATTCAAACGTATCAAAAGTACTTGCGCATAACTTATTGGATAAAGTATTCCAAGAGTACAAGATATTGATCTATATATAAATATTTATACGCGTAATACAGCGAAAGTATAAGTTTATTTCCAATTTTACTCTCGTTTATAGTTACAAAGTGTAATAAACATTACATTGAAATTCGTTTTTCTCATCATATTTCGATTTTTTTAAATACTTTATTATTTTATTTCTAATTCACTCTTTCTAAAATCAAAAAAACTTGATGCAAACTTTTATATCAGATGGTATACTCGATAAATTATTAAAAATTTGGTGAAAGTGTATAATTATTACATGTACACGCAATCACTGTAAAGATTTCATTTGATATATATGTAAACAATATCTTCTGTTTACTTTTACAAATTATAAAATTATAATATTACATGTTTGCAAAATTACAGCGTAATCTTTTTAACACTTACATAAAATAAATTGAAGCATATCAAAAATGATGATATGTTATTCCGATATAAAAATTTTCTGTTGGTTTTCTGAACACTGGAAAACTTAAAATATAAAAACAGTTTAAGCAAAGTAATATCTAACATTAAATTTACCAATTCGATTAATAATATATTGACAATACATCAAAACAAAAATCAATTTTCTACATCATTTAAGATTGAAAATATGTTAATGTATATACTGCACATTGGATTGTTCGGAGTAGAATTCATTATGGTATTTTCTTTTATACGCGTTATATAAACGCGTGGTACTGTTTGATTGAATCAATCATCTCAAATACGCAGTTATAATTGAATAAGAGGGTACGTTTTGGATATTTGAAGTAATTTTAAATGGCTTTTGAATGGACTGAAGATTCGAATGGCGATCGCATAAACTGTGAAATCGAAAGTTTTACAGTAATCATTTAAGTTTTCGTATAAACGAAAGGATTTTTATCGTTATTGATAATAATGGTACTATATAGTGTATAAGAAGAATGAAGAAATTTAATAAGAAAGTTAAGAACAATCAATGACTATGATCAATACGGAACAATAACTAATAAAGGTGTTTACATTTTCAACTAAATTTGTGCTTCATTGACAAAATTATAGCAATAATAAATTTTTAGAAACAGATAATAATAGAATAGTATATAAGTCTATTTTTATGCAAGTATTTATAAAGGAAAGTTAAATTAGTGATACACTATTAAATATTTAATAAGATGCATAAATATTAAAAATTAATTCTTCATTCCTTATTAAATTAAAAATTTATTAAAATAAAAAATTTAGCATGAAAATTTTTAAGCAAGGTAAATGTATATATTTAAGTTAAGGAATTTTATATAACTTTAGACTTATTCTAAATTTAAATAATTTATTGTTAATAATGTATCATAATACTTGTAGAAAATCGTAAAGCTAAAAAAGTGAATCTCTTACAAATCCAATCTAAACGTATTAGTAGAAACAATTTTCATGAAATTATGAAAATAATCTTATGTCAATTGGAAATATTTATTAAATAACAAGTTTAGTATTTCAATGTTATTAATATTAAACTATATCCTATATTTGTATATAAATTTATTATAATAATACTGACAGTAAAATTGCAATTATATGTTATTATTTTTATTTTATTAGACAAATTTAAATTGTGGTGAGTATGAAATTAATGTAGTCTTGAATAAAATGATATCACTTCTTCTCCATAAGATTACAAGACTTATACAGAAATTAAAAACTTGTATACTTTATATTTATAGTATATGGATTTTTATCATTCCTCAAAATGTGAATAACATTTTTGTTTTCGTTACTTATGTAACAAATCACCAATGTGTATACTTTCGTGCATGTACAATTTGAAGTGTATTGCTTTATATGATGATTCTTAATTATGCATATACTTATGAAGATGGATGCACACGTACACATACAGATAGATTATTAATAATAGATAATTATGTAGGTAGATAGAGATAGATTATATAGCTAAATAGAGGGGGAGAGACAGAGAGAGAGAGAGAGAGAAAGAGA